GTTACTGGGAAAGACTATTACTTGGGAGCATCTCCTGAAGCTAAGTTCTGACAATTTCATAACTCAAAATGTTGAAATCTGCATATCTGTCTTAATTGCATGATGGCAAAGTTTTCAGAAACCGAACAGAAACACTCGAGGACACAAAGGAACAAAGTGTGAGCCATTGGCTGCCCTTGCATCTGGCCCTGCTGAAGTGAACATGCTTTCTAATCCCATACAAAACCTCTAAAAGTACCACCTAGAATTTTTTGAAAGAGCTACCAGAAGGCAAAACAAACCCCAGGTTTTTAATCCTTCTCTCCTTAATCATTATCAACAAAGAGGTACATGTGAGTACATGCATTTAAATCTGTCTGAAAACAAGGCACGCGGCACATCAGATACCGTGGAAGGTGGCCAGGTAGACACACGAAGGCCAGGGGTGTGAGAGGTATGGGGCCAGTTGACCTCTTAGATCTCACAGGGAGCTGGGCTGTCATATCCTGGAGCCCGATTTCAATAAAACGTCTTTGGAGGTTAAAGTATCTGTAATTAAAATATCAAAATGTTCTTGTAGCCGGCTGGCTCAGTGGCGTTGTGGTAATCCATTGCTCAGGCAATGCTGGATCCACAAGTTTGGTTCTTGGCCCACCTGTACATGGCAGGTGTGCATATTCATGATGCTGGCTGGCTGGAAAGGCTTACAAGAGTGGGCAATGTGAGGGTCATGAGGTGAGACCCTTTTGAGGGCACTTGTTTTTCTCTTTCTCTCATGAAAGAAATAAGCAAATATAAGGCAGCTGGATCCCACATGGCCAACTGTGTGGTCTGAGTCCTGGACCCAGTGGCTTGAAAAACATGCCAAGCATGTGTGCCCAAAACTTCCACAAGAATGGAGGAAAAGAGATTGTATAGTAGCTATCTCACCCACCTGGGAAGTTGTTATCACTCTGCAGCAAAGCAAAAAATGAAAAAACAAAAACAAACAAAAAAACCCCAAAACCAAAATTAAAAAACAAAAACAACAACAAAAAAATCCCAAAACCAAAATGCAGTGTTCTTGAAACAAAGAAAAAATTACTTCTGTTCTTTGTGTTGTACTTAAAATTCCATTCTCTGAGCCAGCCAGTGGCGTAGTGGTTAAGGGAGCTAGATTACACATGGCCGACTATGAGGTGCTTGAGAAACACCAGTGGTTTGACAAACACGCTGGGTGTATGTGCATGTATGCCCCAAAATCTGAAAGGAGAGAGAAGTGAGTGTCTGTAACCTCTAACGAATCAAAAACAAAACAGAACAACAAACCAAAAACCTCTACTCCTTTAAGAAACAAAGACAGGAAAGCATAACATTTCCTAAACTAAATTAGAACTTGAAATCTGCTAAGCCTCTGAATAATCTTCAATGGAGTCGAGAGGACAAACAAAGACAATGGGTGCGGAGAGAGGTTCAATGTGTGCTCTAAGTTACAACAAGCTGCAACCTGCTGCTGACGTTTTTAATGCGGAGTCCTGCATATATACACAGTTGGTGTTTATTAAGTAGCTGTTGAATTGCACTAATGAGTACACAATCTCAGATGTGAAGTAACTTTATGTACTAAGGCTTTACATATTTTCACAGAAATCTATTATCTTTGGAATGAATCCTCTCATACTAATAAGTGTTATTCTAAAGTAATACCTTTTATTTCCTCTTGAGGGTATCTCGTTAGCTAATAAAAGGTCATAATCAGGCCTCTCAAAAAAGAAAAGAAAATAACTCCCGCTGAGGCGATGGCATCTTCCAATTCACTCTTAAAGCAGAAAAGCCCTCAGTGAATAGGAAATCTGCATCTCTAAATGGAAACTCAGGGTCCATGTAGCACAATGGTGATGCCTAATCCATGCTAGCACTGAGGGCATGAAGCAGAGACTGGGAGAGGGAGAAGAGGGACTGGGCTTTTCAGCTCTGGGCAGGAGCTGCCCTGCGCCGAGATGGAGGGTCACTTATGGTAACCCCAGGAGTTTCTGCAGGTCTCTTTCTCTGACCCATCCCAAGGGCAGCTATCCTGTAATAAAGGCTGTGTCCCTACCCAAATGTTGCCACTGTTACACAAGACAGGCATCTCAGGTGTGTCCATTTTGATGGCCTGAGGACAGAGTATACAGGTTAGAGAGAACTGAGGCACCCCTCACTGACAGTGCTGGGTCCCTCAGAGGTCTAGTGGCTGCTGCCAGACACATTCCATGCGGCCAAGCCCATGACCTTTTCTCTAGTGTAGCTTACACCTATTGATCCCAAGGACTACTCAAAGTATAAAGCCAGAACTGGAGGTCCTGTTTTAAGTGTCAAAAGCAAGAAATCTGGGCAGGTTGAAAGAGTATTAATTTGTGTTTGGAACTGAAGCCTGTGGACTAGAGCTGATTTAAATGTTGACTTAAACAAACATACTTTATGTCTAAATAAACCCTATTCTGACATATATTATCATCACTTATGCTAATTTCACCAACATGCCTTGCAGCTATTTTTACAAAGATGATAATTCAGATTGAAAGAATTCTAGGGGGAAATGGGTAAGATTTGATCACAATACAATCAAGTTTTTGGACCAACACAAATCCTTCATTTGCTGAGGATTAAAAAAAAATGAAAGAGTATGTCTATAAAGGCACTACATAGGGGAAGTTGTTAGTAAAAGGAGAGTTCCACTTCCCCACATGAGTGGAATAATCAACATGCTATTTTCTTTACCTCCAGGATAATCCCTCAGCATTTTCTGACACCCAAAAATGTTGCCTTAAGTATTTTTTGGTAGAAAAAGCATAAAAATAGAGGCAACACAAATACGTATGTCTAGTTTCAAACAGCCAAAGTCTATGCTGGGCTCTGCTAAAGGAATTCTGGTTTTTTTTTTTTTTAATTTTTAAAATTTTTAAAAGGGTTTTGCCACAGGGCATGTGTACTCCTGAGAGAGACAGACAGAGAGAGAGAGAGAGAGAGAGAGAGAGAGAAATCATCCCCAAGAGGGATGGCTATGCCATAATTCCTTCTCCTCCATATTTCTCCTGGAATCTTAGGCACACACACCCTATGTGATTCTCCAGCCACCAGGTCCAGGACTCAAACTACACAGTCAGCCATGTGGGGGAATCCAGCACGTCAATCACCATACCACCTGCTGGCTCCTATACTGAAATTCGTTTTTAGATTTTTTTTTTTTAACCACAGGGTATGTGCATAGCAGAGAAAGACAGTGAGAGAGGGGTAAGTGAGAAACCACCCCACAGGGAGAATGGCCACACTCTAATCCCTTCTCTTCCATTCTCCTCATGGGGTTGTGGGATGCACAACATGCACCCAGTGTGTTTTTCAGGCTGCTTCGTCCGAGACCCAAACTGCAGCGCTGGCCACGTGAGATCCAATACCTTAACTTTGACATCACCTGCTCGCCCTTAAAATTTTTTTAAAGGATTATTTTTATTTAACTTTATTTTAATTTGACCAGAGAGGGAAGAAGGGAGGAAGGGAGGGAGGGAGGAATGGAGGGAGAGAAAGTGAGAAAGCAAGCTGCCAGGTCTAGGGCTCGAACTATGGTTGGCCATGTGGGAGTCCAGCCCCCTTAACTACCAGGCCACCTGTTGGCCCCTTGCCCTTTAGTAACTCTAAAATCAGTTCCTGAAAGACTAGAGGGTGAAAGTGCTTATAATGCTAATCTAGGTCAGTCTACGAGAGCCACCCACCATCATCTAGGGTATGACCTTCAAAACAGACCACATCAGCCCCGCTTTCAGATGGATGTGCTATCAGTTTCCAACTGACTATAGTTAATGCAAAAATAATTAGCTTTGCTTGATATGAATAACCCTCCTTTTCCATATACTATAAATACCGAAGGAATTATTTACTCTATAATTGTCTGCCATGATTTAAAATTAAATAAATAAATAAAGACAAAGTACTGCTTAGCATTCTCAGCACTAGAAATATGTGAAAAATTATACTCATTGCATCTAGTCAAACCCAGCACGACGTTGGGACCAAAGCCACATATATATTTTGGCCATAAATCTCTATAAAATCCATGTATTGCACTCAGGAGACCTAAGCTATCAAACATTTACCATCTCTTAATACACAAGCAGTGCTAAACTGTACTGGTTAGTAAGCATTAGTCATGAGCAAGTGCCAATATGGCTACTAAAATCCTAAGTGATGGAGACAATACAGCCAATGCTTTCAGAATATGCCACATAAGATTTGCAACATCTATTTATGTGTGAATAATTACACTGCCGCTTTTTGGCTATAAAGTAGGGAAAACAGTATTATTGGGTATGGGAATGCTGTTTTGGGTAGAAAAGTTTATTTTTGCTGGTGGAAGGCAGGTTTCATTAACAAAGCTTTGAAACACAAGCATTTCATTTGGATGTGGAATGCTCAATGAGGCAAAGCGATGAAGTGCAGGTGAAAGAACGAACCAATATAATGCTAAGACATTACCATGTTCAAGAGAAGAAAAGCTGCAGTTCTATATTTTAAATCTTCTCTAGGTCTATGCTTGGGCAATCTGATTAGTTAAAATGAAACCTTCACTGGACTATGATGACTCTAACTGTGGTTTACTGTGTAATTTAAAAATAATTAACAAAAAAAGAACTTTCGAGTGCCAATATTAATTTGTCAGAATATCTGCATGTTATTAAAATGAAGAAAAATAAAAACTAACAGACAGTATAAAACTGTAAGTTTCAACATATATGGCAAATAAAATTTTATTTCCACTTCTGTCAGTGATTTAAAATATACTCCCTGATTTTATTTCCCTCCCCAAATGGTTATTTTCTTTTCTTCATGTATAGTTGGAGAGAATATTTCCTTAATGCAAAGATGTTACTTATAAATAGAGTGTAAAGAAAATTAAGAATGAATGTTTCTTCATAACGAATTAAAAAAAAAAAACCTACATAAACCAGGTCTACAGTGACATTTAAAAATGCACTTAAAATTTTAAAGGTTAAAAAATATCCTCTTACTTAATCCAGTTCATCAGCTCCACTGTATCTGGATCATAGAATTCTCTCAACTCGGAGAGTTCATCCATCATTCCTGGCCAGAACTGAAATTAAAAACAAAACAAAACGAAAACAAAATTCACCCCCATACCCACAACTATCACTAAAGATTAAGAAAAGAGAGAGAGAGAGAGAGAGAGAGAGAGAGAAACTGCATAACACTTGAGAACTAAATAAACATGGCAACTGGAACACAAAACTACTCATCTTCTGCAGTCAGCCCTCCCAGCAAAAGGAAGCCAAGGTCTGAGAAGTTTCTGAAATTATCTTGGGGTGAAGCAAACTAGGACTAGTGGTATAGTCAAGTTTTTAAAATGAGTTATTTCCCTTTAATAAAAATGCTACTGTATGTGGTGTTAAATGTCTAGTAAGACATGATTTTCATAAGATGGGAATACCAAACATGACAAATCCCACAGTATTTTAGAAAAATGTAACTCACGTGCAATCTACCCTTAAAAGTAGAACATCCCTTGTGGAGACAGCACATTCTAGTTGCAAAATGCTTTTGATTACAGTATTTCATTTATCCTCACTATAACCCACGAGACTGATGACACCGCAGGCAGCACCTCCACTGGGATTTCTGTTTCGTTCTACTAAGTGCGGGAACTGGCTAAGAGAGACACCTGACTTAACCAGCTCACCAGCCATGACTCAGAACCCAATCCAGCCTCCTTTTGTTGCACAATGCTGTGAATATCTAGTCGCATGGTTTGGTGTATATTACTATAGTTACTAGGAGAATGGAAGAGAAGAATATTTGAAAGTAGGACTCTCCAGGAAAATCTAGTATGTTTGACTATTATATTATTGATATCTTCTGGTCAACCTCATTTATATCATACAGATATGATGTAAAAATTACATGTTGAACCCACCACTAATCTAACTCATTAGATTAATTCAGCAATTACTTAATCATTGTTTTATCAAAAGATGATTGACTTACAAGACTAGATAATTTATATACATTCCTAGGTTAACTGCAGAATTCACGTCACATATTGGCACAGAAGACCAATGACAAGTATCCATGCTTTACTGATGTTGAATATATAATAATGTTATTTAAGAGTTAGTACACAGAATCAAAATAGCACCTGATTGGTCTATGGCTGTGTTCTTAGCCCTATCACTTTCTTTATCTGTCGTTTCATTTTTTAACCATTTTTACTGCTCATTCACATCTTGTCTCCTGAGTGGGTGAATCAGGAAAATTACTAGCGATAGAAAATTAGGTGTCCGCACTTCTGGTTCTAGTTTTGGAAGACATGCAGTCAAAATTACTGAAGACGTGATACCTTTGTAATATATCAATTATCTATATTCTCTATTAACTTGATAATCTACTTTAACATAAAATGCTCTAATTCTTTTAGTATAAAATATATTTGAAATCTGTGAACTCAATGAATATTAGGTATTTTTCAAGATAGAAAGTAACAGTAATTAATTCTGAAAATGTTAAACTCTATTAAGAGTTTTGTGGACAACTGCTTAATATTAAAGTAAATGTTAAGTTCACTAAATGCTGTTTTCACTGATCAGCAGTACATTACATAGGACTTCAGTGATCCAAATAAATCAAACAAGTCCCAAGTAATAATGGTATTAAATTCTTAACTTCAGAGTGAAGAAAGCAAGCACATAACTGCAGAGTACAAACTTTTCCCCTTTTAATAGGATTATTCTAAAGGAAGATATAACAAAAGTGGTATTATGAACCAAAATTTTGAAACCCTCATTTATAATTACTATGCAAAACTCAAATCAGGCTTTGAAATATATGAATTCACATTACTTACAGAGAAATCTGTAATAGTTGGAAAAATATTCAATTTCAGGGTAACCCCTAATATATAAATCTTCATTTTCTTTCTTTCTTTTTTTTTTTTTTTTTAATTTTTAGAGGTTTTTGCTATAGGGCATGTGCGCTTGCCAGAAAGACAGAGAGAGACAGAAAGAAAGAAATTACCCTCCAGGGGGGATGGCCACACTGCAATCCCTTCTCCTCCATTCTCCTCTCAGGGATCTTGGGCTCGTGCGCACATGGACCCGTAGTGAGTTTAAGCCATCGGATCTGGGACTCGGCCCATAGTCGACTACATGGGAGTCCAGCAACATAGCCATTACACCAACTGCGGGTCCCTTTTTAAAAAATTGCTATAGGACACATGCACTTGCCAGAGACAGAGAGTCGGGGTGGGGAGAGAGAGAAAGAGAGAGAGAGAGAAAGTGAGACAGAACCCCCCAACAGGGATGGCCACACCACAGTCCCTTCTCTTCCATCCTCCTCTCTGGATTTTGGGCACACATGCACACATGCTTGGTGTGTTGTTTAAGCCGCTGGGTCCAAGAATCAAATCACAGAATTGGCCATGTGGGATCCAGCTCTTTTAACCATCATGCCACTGTCTGGCCCTAACACCTTTATTTTATCTGTTATTTTATATTTTGTAAATTTGAGAAAATGAAGTATCTATTTTATAGGGTGAAGGCTGGACGCATTAAGATTTCTCCTGAAGTCTTACACCAACAGAGACTAGGCCAACAGTCTTATGAAAGATTCAGATACTGTACTAACTCTCCTACTCAGGGAAAATCTATATGGGTATCCTGGGTGTGATGGGTTTTTTTTAGTACTGTCATTGGTTCTTCTATAGCAGTGGTTCTCAAGAGGAGGGAGGGGAGAGCTTTTGCCACCACTACCTCCTGCCCCAGAGGATGGCAGGTAATATCTGGAGACATTTCTGGTTGTCATGAATAGTAAGGTACTACTGTCAACTAGTGAGTAAAAGATACCATGCTGCTAGACATCCCACATATACAGGATAGCCCCTACAACAGAATTATCTGACCAAAATCCAATGGTATCACTGTCAAAAATCCCTGTTAACACTATGGCGGGGGTTTCAAAAGGGGGTATATCAGCATCACCTGGAGGGGTGTTTAAAACACAAATTTCTGAATTCTACTGCCAGAGTTTCTGACTCAGGAGGTTTGGAGTGGGACCCAAATATCTGTATTTCTAACAAATTCCCAGGTGATGCTACTCCATCTGGACACTGTACTTCAAAAACACTAAATGGCATAGCTTATATTCCTGTACAGTGTCCTTACCTCAGTTTAATTAAGAACAAGAGACCTAAATCCTCAGCTTTAAAAAGAAAAAAAAATTTTTTTTCAGTAAATAGCTGAGACATAAAGGAACTCAGCCTACATAAACATAGGCAGTGGAAAAGATTTTATAGTTTGCATTCATCTTCAGTGCAACAAGAATGATGATGAAATCTATCTTTTCTGTGATGAAGGTGTTTTAATCCTCAAAATCAATGTGTGGAGGTAGTTACCTGATTCCCCATTAGATAGATATATACTCTGTTTAATCCTTAATTGTTGCTTTCCAGATGTTGTTAAAAAGTTTAACTTATTTACATTAGAGCAATAAAAAGCCCAGAAGCAGGGAGGTAGAAATCTATTGCTGTATTTTCCAGTGTCTAGGAGTTAGCACAGAAGTTTGCCTATAATTATAAATGTTCTACAGGTAGGAACATGATCAAACATGAGTTTCTGAGATATATACTAGATAGTGATATCAAACTTTACTTATTTATTTTAAACCAAAATCCTTTGTTTCACAAACTCTTATAAAAAAAAATAAAATAAAATCAAACATGGAGCTACAATAGCTCTATTGGCAAGATGACCCCATGCTTTTAACCAACCTCCCAAACCCCAAATCAAGAGCTCTACACAGCAGAATTTGACATCTACTGCACTAACTGAAAATAAAATTTGAAGGGAAAGAAAAATCTAAACGTAAAAAATGTGTAAGGCTTTAAAAAAAAAAAGAGAGAGATAGGGCAAGAGCTCAACTGCATAAAACAATCTGTGCTACCTGCCTAGGTGACATTTTTGAGCCTCTAAATCTCAAAGATGTGGAAAAATACTCCATTTGACCAATGATCATTGTTTTGATAGGGAATTTACACAGTTGAAGACCAGCTAATGTTATTTCAGAAATTAGTCAACTGAATATATGAGAAGTTTTATACTTCCTACTGAAACTGAAAAACATAAAAAATGCCTAATCTTAGACTATATTTATGTCTAGTTCTCTTACAAAGATAAGCATCTAATAAAATATGAAGATTAAACTGAGATATATTTTCTCTATATAAATCAGTTAACAGAGGAAAATAATTTTTCTGTTTTACTCATTTCAAAATAGTTCTGAAAACATTTTCAGAATTTGCATCAGCTGAATCATAAGTTAAAACCATACTTAATTAGGATGACTAAATGCTAAAAGGTTTGCTAGAATGCTTTAACTTAACTAAAAACTATTGTGAGAACCAGCAGGTGGCATGGTGGTTATACTGACTCCCACACAGTCAACTGTGAATTGAGTCCCAGAACCAGAGGTTTGTAAATCGCTCTGTGTGTGTGTGTGTGTGTGTGTGTGTGTGTGGGTGCGTGCGTGCGTGTGTGTGTGTGTGTGTGTGCCTGCGCGTGGCCCCAGATCCTAAGAGGAGAACGGAGAAGGGATTGTGGCATGGCTATCCCCCCATAAGGCGATTTCTCACTTTCCATCTTCCTCTCTCTTTCTTTTTCTTTCTCTCTCTAGCGAGCACTCATGCCCTACGGCAAAAACATTAAAACAAACACAAAAACACAGGTAACCAGACAGTTTTTCTATCAATGCCAATTACAAGAACCTAAGGAGATCATTACAACCAACACAAACCACTCTATTTGCCAAATAATATAAAAAATATTTCAAAGCCAAAGCGATTATTCTGTTACACAGATGAGTAAGAATGAGGAAAATCAGCCTTACCTTATAGCACAGATACAGCAGTATTAATATTGGTACTGAATATCGCATTATACATATCTATGTAAGAGAGACACTATTTAGATTACAAGTATTTTGAACACTGTTGCCTTACAGTTTCACTTTGTAAATATATACCTTTTTAAATAATAAAATTATAATTCAAAGGAGCATAAGCCTCTAACATGCAAAATAACTGACTCAATGCAAGGGTTCTAATCATTCATATTTGTAGCTTCTACCATATTGCCACCTAGTGAATTTACAGGGCAGAACAATTTAAAACTACATTTGTAGGCCATTACACCTGAGTGATCATACACTTATAATTATTTGTTGGAGAATATAACAGCAAGGGTTATAATTCTGAATAAGGGGATTATTGGTAATTACTAATTTTCCTTTTTGTGTCTTTTTAATTTCCAGATTCTATATAATGAATCAAATTATAGTTTGGGGAAAATTAAATAATGAATAAAAATTAAATTATTTAAAAATTCCTTATAAAATCTAGTGTATTATCTATTTTTAGTTTCAAATTTTAGTATCTATTTTATCTGACTCCTAAATGGACAACTGAAGAAAAATAATTGAAATAAAAGAAATATTAAAAGTCATAAAGTTCAATGAAAAAATAGATAGCACTGACCCTCTTTGGCTTATAAAGATGGGCCAACTTCAGAAGTAATTCCCATATTTCAGGGCTGCACAAGCCAAATGATGCAAACACACACATGTGTGATGTCCAGAGGTACTTCATTCTGTAATAACACAAACAAGCAAAAGTCAACAAGTACTAGGTATGTATTAACCAGGAGCCCGAGATAGCTGTAAAGGCAGTTTTACGGCTTGTGGCAGTAAACTCTTCCTTAAAACTATGCAAAAGCCATTTGCCAAAGGGTTAGTGATAAATTTCACTGCCTTTTGAAAACTATCATGTAAGTAAAACGTATAGGAGTGTTTGTTAATAATTAGGAAGAAAGCCGATTATAAATAATATTTTTATACTGGTTGAAGATATATATAAGGTTAATTTTATGGGAACTATAGTCATTAATGAAGGTGACTGTCAGTTTCCAAATCATATTGCTAAATAACATTAAGAATGGTCAAATTATGGGACCAGCAGTTGGTAGAAAGGCTATATCACTGAACTCCCATATAGTTCGAGTCCCAGACCTGGTGGCTTAAACTCATGCCGGGCACATGTGCATGCGTGCCCAAGATCCCAGAGGAGAATGGAGAAGGGATTGCGGCATGGCCATCCTCCCTGGGGGGTGATTTCTCGCTTTCTATCTCTCTTTCTGGCAAGTGCACACGCCCTATAGCTAAAAAAAAAAAAGAATAGTCAAATTAAAAAATAAATAAATAGGTAAGACAAAAATACCTCATTGTACTCAATGCCAAGAATCCAAACAGAATGGTATGTATTAAGTTGTAGGCAGTTTCTGGTTTCAGGTCAACCGTACATTTCCCCATTTTACCCAGGGATTGTTCATCTGTAGAATCACTAAATAAAATAGCAAACATATAAAATTAAAGCTGACTATATACTTTTAATTTAGTAAAATATCTGTAAAGAAAGAAAATATAGGCAACTTAGGTGATTATATATTTAGAAATGTATTATTTCCCCAGGATGAACTGAATTAGCATTGATGAACTTTGAATTTGTTTATGAGGCTAACTGTCACAATACAAATGCATTAGTAATTAGAATAACTAAAATTTCACATACATTAAGTAGAAATCTAAAGTATTAAGTGCTTTAAATCTTTAAATTAATAAACATTGAAAGAAATGAATTTCTTCTGAAATTGGAGATCTTTAAACATGTTTTATAAATTATATTTTTCCATTTCTTACAAATATGCAAAGGTAAAATATATCCATAAATTTGGAGTTCAGTTCCTTTATAAACACATTTTAACCTACCAATACCTCATTATAAATGTCCAGTGGGTAACTTCTATTAAAATATAGTCACATTAAAATTATTATACCCAATAAAATTAACCTTAGTTCTTCAACATTATCTAATACCAAATTCTGTTCTATTTCTCTTATTTGTAATAATATATTTTTCAGGCAGTTTCTCTGAATCGGCATCCAAAGCTTGTACATTTCAGTTTGCTGATAATATCTCTTTAAACATCTTTGGATATATAAAAGTATCCTCCTCCTTTTTTTTTGTTTTTAAAGGCCATTTATCTGCTGAAGGAAGTGTAGTGTTTGTCCTGTGACTCTTCCCATGCTATGGGTTTGGATAATTGCCTCATTACGTGGTGTTTAATACACTTTTCCATTTCTATGCTTCCTGTAAACAAGGTATAGAGATTTATCAGAATCAAATTCTTTTTCTTTTTTTCCCCCATGGACTATATGAGCATATTCTACCTTGTATCACACTGGGAAACTCATGCTGTCTGACTCTGTCCACTTTAGTGATGTTAAAGATTGATGAGTGAGTTCAGATTCTGCAAAATTTATATTGAAAGAAAAAGAAAACAGCAATGGCCTTGAGTTTAAGACGAAAATACTTTCATAAAGGCTCTACTGGTCCTTCTATACAAATCCAACAGAACTGGATATATATGATGTTTCTCTATGTAACTAGAGAAATTTTACTTTGTAGAAATCCTCTTTTTACCACTGTAGATTCAAAGGAAAATTAGGATGATAATCTAAGGCAGTTTTCATGATCAGTAGTGATTTTTACTTAAATGTTAAATACCAGAACCTCAGAACTAGCTTCTATATTGATACTAAAAGATTACCCCAAACAAGGAGAGCATAGGCTTTTGATATTTGGGAGAATTCTCCAACAACTCTTTCCTACCTAAGCCAAGTTGAAAAACTCTTATTAATTCCATGAGTACAAAACAGTGTCCCTTTCAATTGTATCCTTTACACCAATGCAGATGTGTTGTATATATGTAATGGTATCATCTCTTTCATAGTACTAAAAATGGAAATACTTTAAATATTTGGTATTAGTAAAACCCCCTCGAATTACTTAAAAGATATTTCATATAAATATAATTCTTTAGCTACTTTAAAGTAGTGCTTTTTCCTCTAATAAAGTCCTACTAGTCCTACCTGGTAGATGAGGATGCTCTAAAATCTTTATCTATGATCATATACCAAATCGGCGTCCAGAGATGGCTCAGAGTCGCCCTGAGCATGGCAGACATTTCCAAAAGATACTGCAGGCCAACTGAACTTCCTGCTTGGTATGCAGTCTAGAATCTTGTCGACACTTGGTGTGTCTGGAATAATACTAAATTACACTGTCTAGAATAATTTCCATCTACTTTCATAGGGCTAAATTTTATCTTGGGCTAGTATAAAAAAGAACACTTCTGAAAGATACTAAAATAGTTTATAGTCAGTGAAATATTTTTTCATGGTTCAATGTTGCTTCAGTCTTAATAATCATAAAACACCTCAAGTGATCTGGATTCATTTTAATGACAGGTCTCTTGTGGCTGCGAATCACAGTTCACAAGCACCTTAATTGGCAAGGTAACTATACAGAAAAAGGGCTTCCTGGTGAGCTTCATTAAGTTTTCACAAATGACAGTAGCTTCAACTTCTCACACTTAATTTTCTTTCAATTTAACATGGGATAGTAAATGCAAAAAAAAAAAAAAAAAACCATTGGCTGGGTAGGTAGGCATCCTACAAGTTTTTAAAAAGCCTTTACACTCATTGATTTTTCCTCTCAGTAGGCTGGTAGGCATGCAAGTTTTAAAAATGGGCAATTATTACTTAAAATTTTCAGTAGATACTAATATTATGGTCCACTCCAATTTATGAGCCCTGAAACAAAGTGTAAAAAAACAAATGAACGATAATTAACTCTTGATATTTCGTGAGAAATGAAAGAAAGCAGCTAGACGAAGAAGGTAGAATAACTGAGGAAATGAATAATACGAACAACATGGGCGTGAGTCAACTATAACACTAGCTGACAGCTAACATTTACAAAATACTCTAGGCATGAAATACTATTCTAAATACTTTATCTTGTTTAAACTTTTTATTTCTCATAATATTCTGCAGAGTACAATACTCCTAGTATTCACATTCTATAGACAAGAAAATGAAAATACCAAAAGGTTAAATAACTGGCTCGAATACCACCTTCGTCTCAAGTGCGTGAGCCGGGACTTAAACACTAGTCTTTGCTGTCTCTTAACAAGTTTCTCCTAGGATGAACAAAACTCCTCTGTTCTGTGTCTGAGATTCTGAATTTCAGCCTAGCAACTTCTCTGCAACACAGAACCGTGTGAGACTTTAGAAATATGCCATACCTGAGATTATGAAAGGCGACAACTAACGCTGCAATCACAGTGATGGACAGGACAAAAACGTACGCGTAGAAAAGCAGAGTATCTGAAAGCCTTTCGAATGTATTGAAAGGCAAGAGGCCAAAAGCTTCTTCGCACAGATAGAGATTTGCATCAAAATCCCTAGGGAACAAACGGAAAGCACAGCATTAGATTCCACAGGACATAGTGTTTTTCCTCAAAATGAGCCTGCAATGAACAACTGAACGCACAATGACGCCTCAAGTTTTCAAGTCCCTGCTGATTTAATATAAAATACCCAACAGATTTTAGTTCACTCGTACCTTGTGGCGCCAAACCCAAATTTTGCCTTCAGAAATTTAAATATGTGTTCATCTGACTTCAGATTAAGAATGACCTGTCGGGGAGAGAGAAAACAAACATCACTGAGAGCATTTTAGGCACCAATGAATAGGTGCATATATATTCAGCGTCCACTGTCACAGGTGAGTCTGTGCGAATGTGTGTAAAATTAGCAAACGCTCACAGCTGTTCTTAGGACAGAGGAATTCTAAAGCAGGGACTTTCAAATGGTCCCCTCCACCTTTTAAGCATAATCCTTTATTCAAACACCTGATGCATAAGTTCAATATGCAAAATAGGTAAGAGATGAGCTTTTTTGGGGAGATGGTTGAAACATAGTGAGTACAATTCTTAAAAATTGACCAGAAGCCAACAATATGATACTTTGAAACCTTAAACAGATATAGTCCATGAGGCCTGACTAGATTTAGTTTTTTTGACCTGCAGATACAACTGATCTAACTCATTCACTCAAAGACATTCATCAAGGAGTGAAAAAATGTTAGTGTTCATCATTACTGACTGTAATTTTAATGAACATAATTTTATTTTAATCTATGGCTTATAAAAAGTCATAGAGCATAAAGAGTAAAGAAATTTTATCAGAAGGAAAATGAAGATATGAATAAAAGAACAAAAAAAGATGAAGTCAGAACTGAGGTTAGTATACAAAATATATTCATTAGAGAGGAGCCACAAATCGGGTTTTATGTATTCTAGCAGAAAATGCAAAGAGGGAGATAAAAGCTTTTATGTTACTCAAAGGGTCATAGATAAAAAGAAACCACTTGCTCAGAAGAGATCCTAAAAGACCTAGAACTGATACTCAGTATTGCTTTTTCCCATGGGTACAATAAAAACAGCAAGGAGTTCAGACTATTTTTCATAATTCCTCTCATTGTAGGTCTCTGGCAAAACACCAAGTGCATTCAATAGAAGTAATTCTTTGGGGAGTCAAAAAATGACCCAGAGTGGATGAACTATCTTTTATCCAATCTTCCAGATATGCAGATTGTTTGGCTCAAATACCTGCTTCTGATAAGTACTGAACTGAGTTCTTAAACAGTTTAAAACAGAGTTTAAGAACACAGTGACGAGGTCCTGGTGTGAGGTACTTAATGTGCTTGGCTGAGTAAGGAGGGTTTTTCTCTCTCCTTTTTTATGCTGTGTGTACATGTATGCACATATATGTACGTGTGGTATTCTTTTCAGACAAGCTCTCTCTATGTTGTGATCCTCCTGCTTCGGCCTCTGAAGTACCTGCGGACTACAGGTATATGCCACCATAGTCAGCTTTTCCTGGTTCTCCTAGGTGGCCTCAGCCATGGTAGTATGAACTACCATGCCCCCAATTTTTTTTTCTTGTGAAATATTAAAAACCATGGGATCAGCAGGTGATGCGAAGGTTGAGGCGCTAGATCTCACACGGCCCAGCTTTACTGTTTGAGTCCCAGACCCAGTGGCTTGAGAGTCACACTGGGCATGTGTACACGTGCCCAAATTCTAAGCGAAGAATGACGAAGAGATTGTGGTGTGGCCACACCCCTTGGGTGTAGGGGAGGGTGATTTCTCACTCCTCCCCCAAAAACAAGCTTGGAAAAAAAAAAAAAAAAAGCACACTAAACTAAGTCTCTCAAGGCATTTAAATTTAATTTTTTTTTACCAAAGCATCTACTAGACATACAATAAATGAATACATAAGTTACTGAGTTATTCTGTTGTATAGGATTGTTAATATTTTAAAAAGAATTATTCTATTTATTTACTTATTTTTAATTTGATCAGAGAGGGACAAAGGGGGGGGGGAATGTGAGAAAGCAAGCTGCCAGGTCCAGGACTTGAACTGTGTGGTCGGCCGTGAGGGAGTCCAGTGCCCTCAACCACTACACTATCTGCCAGCCCCAAGGAATGTTAATTTTTTAAAAAATTCTTTTTTGGGGGGGCCGGCAGGTGGTATGATGGTTAAATGTGCTGGATTCCCACATGGTCGGCCATGGTTTGAGTCCCAGACATGGCAGCTTGCTTTCTCACCTTCCCTTCCTCTCTCTCTCTCTGGTCAAATTAAAAAAAAAATAATAACAAATTGAATAAATAAACAATTCTTTAAAAAAACAAAAAAATTATTATTTTTTTTTTTGTGATGAGAATGAAAGACACAAGAGAGGAGGGAAAAGGACAGACAAGCAGGGTCTCATGACACTATTCACTTTGGCCTTTCCAGTCAGCCAGGATTATGGGTGAACATGACTGATTAGTACAGGTAGACTGGGGAACTGAACCTGCAATTGTTTCTAGGAACCCAGTTTCATTTGAGTGGCATGTTACTGCTAAGCCACCAAGCTGGCCCCAGGGTTGTTCATTTTAAGTCAGTTAAGTGTTGGGGAACATCTACCAAAACTGAGCCCCACTCTTCTTTCTAACAGGATTTAGAAAGTAAGGCTAGATTATTTATTAACTGAATCTAATAAAAATCATGTCACTTTTACAAAGTACCACAGTGTAATAAACTCTCTAAAAGTAGAATTTTTACAGAGAAATTTTTCTCTAATGCTTTTAAAGTTGCACTTCCAAAAAGTTTAATAATTTTTAAAAATTATTTTAGAATTATTTATTTAACTTTACTAGTTATTATTAACTTTTAATTTGATCAGCGAGAGGCAGAGAGAAAAGGAAAGGGAGAAAGCAGGCTGCCAGGTCCATGATCTGAACCATGGTCAGCAACGTGGGACTCTTGCACCTTAACTATCACGCCACCTGCCGGCCCCAAAAAGTGTAATAATTTAAAAGCTGAGTTCAGGGTAGAACATACTTAGTTAATCAATGACTAAAATCAACAAAATAATCCTTGTTATCAAAGCAGTTAAAACTGAGCTTGCTCAGGGCTAGTACCACAGTCTGGTGATTAAGAAAGCTGGATCTCAAATGGTCAACCACGTGGTTTGAGTCTCAGCCCCACCTGGCTTGGGAAACATGCTGGGTCCGTGTGCGTGTATGCCCAGAATCCCAGTGGGATGGGGAAATGGAAGAGAAGGGATTGCAGTGTGGCCACGCCCAACTGTGGGTGCTTTCTCTCCCTCTCTGTATCTCTCTGGTAAGCTCATGTACCCTCAGGGTTATAAAACAAAACAAATCAAAATAACACTAACTGAGTCTATTTAAAGGTAAAACTTAAATAGCTCTTCAGTGATGCTAACTACTTTATAAAATAAAAACTTAATTATTTAAATTGAAAGTTTCAAAATTTAACTCCAATGTCAAAATTTAAAAAAATACATCAAGTGTCATTTTGTTAACTTACCTTAATAATATTGTTGAGAAAAAGTGTCAAACAAAAAACCACAAATAAATGTAAAACAAGTTTCCCAAGCCTATTAAGGAAGCTTCCAGTTTTCAGATTTTTCTGGAAATCAAAAGAGTTGTATTTTAATTCTTAAATTTTGCTATAACTTCATGAACACTTATGATGAGATTACTTCAGGATTGAAAAACACTATACCATGCAACATATAGGTAAAAATATAACTTACTAATCTTCATGAGGTTATATTGTCTTAGTACTTTTAATCTTCTGGTAATAAATTCCTTAAAAATGAGCTCCATAAGATCAGGAAATACGTTCTAGTCTTTTTCTTTCTTATATATATTTTTTTAAGATCTTCACAATCGGAGTTTTTTTTTTAAAAGACCTTTGCAACTAGAGGACTAATATCTGTCACTTAGAAGGTACATGGAAAATGCTGACTGAGAAAACTGTTACCTCATTTATCCCATTTATCCAACACAGCTCTAACCCAATTAAACAAAAGACACATTTATAATAACAGTAAACTGTGTTTTTTTTGATCCTCAGGTAATGTCAGACCTTGTTAAGTATAATATCTAAGATGTTCAACATGTATAATGTTTACTTATAATTAAAAGGGATGAATGAGACCTACTGTTTTTTGTTTGTTTGTTTGTTTGTTTGGTTTTTATTTTTTGGTGGGGAAGAGGTTTTTGCTCTAGGGCACATGTGCTCGCCAGAAAAAGAGAGAGAGCCAGAAAGCGAGAAATCACCCCCCAGGGGGGATGGCCGCGCCGCAATCCCTTTTCCTCCATTCTCCTCTCGAGATCTTGGGCACGCACGTACACGTGCCTGGCGTGAATTTAAGTTACTGGGCCCGGCACTCAAATCGCGGTTGACTACATGGGACTCCAGTGACAGCCATTACACTAACTGCTGGTCCCGAGACCTACTGTTTTTGACAGTTAACTAAAAGCCCATTTAAAAAAATCCTTGTTCACATTTTCCACACCAGTTTTTACTCTAAAGACTAATAAGAAAAAGGATTTATTCTTCCTAAAGAGTAAAACAAAATTTTTGATAAAGAAACATTCACAGCATATGATAAAAGAGACTTCTGCCACAATTTGAGGAAAAGCAAAGGACTCCTAAGTCTCATGGAAATTTCAGAAATTTAGATATATAATAAAGCCAAAAGACCAGGTCAATCAGTTGTTGTATTTTTATTATTATTTTTTTTTAGAGAGATTTTTTTGTTATAGGGCACATATGCTTTTGCCAGACAGACACAAAGCAAGAAACCACCCCTGGGGGGATGGTCACGCCACAATCCCTTCTCCATTCTCTTTTCAGGATTTTGGGCACACATCACATGGGCCCGGTGTGAGTTTTAAACCACTGGGTCCAGGATGCGAACTGTGTTCAACTATATGGGAGTCCAGCGACATAACCGTTACACAATCTGCTGGTCTCCAGGTCAACGTTTTTAAAAATGATTTTATTATACTAAGAAACATTCTTTATTTCTAAAGGTACTTATATGGATTCTCAGAACTCTCAACATACAGTTAATTTTAATTTGTGTAAAAGTCAGTAATATATTGAGGAAGGATGGAGATAAAAAGTTGTGTTACTCTATCAAACAGCAACATCCACCAAGGGAAAGATTATGATGAACACACTCCCACAGTTTCTTCTTACTCTTGAGTTCATAGTTAATTTTTTTTTCTTTTACTTAAACTTTAAATAAATGATATTCAACTAAGCACCTCTGGCTGATCCCTGAACTGAATCAAAGTTTTACTTTTTTATGAAATAACAAGTATCAAAACAAACAGATGGCACATAACCTCAGAAAACTTGAAATAGAAATCAAGTATTTTTTTTAAAAAGCAAATAATACAACCTGTGCTTTTTAGTACAGATCTGTTGATAAATTTTCCTTTATGTGCTATATGAAAAAAAGATCCAACAAGTCATACAATAAAAATTTTTTAAAAATCTGATTATAGACCAAAAATTAAAAAATAAAGACTTACTTGAAGTTTTCTTGCAATTAATACTGAGAGGTTAAAACTGATAAGCAATGATCCAAGAATCATGGAATTGAAAAACTGAAGAATGCAGACCAGGAATAAACCTGTTATCTGTATACCATACAGCCATGTTGCCTGAAACAACATAAGTTTAGATGGTTAAACAGGTTTTATCGAGAGATTGCCACTGGGTGACATGTTGATAATTTTATCTAGGTTACAAATAATGCAAGGATGCGAACTGTGTTCAACTATATGGGAGTCCAGCGACATAACCGTTACACAATCTGCTGGTCTCCAGGTCAACGTTTTTAAAAATGATTTTATTATACTAAGAAACATTCTTTATTTCTAAAGGTACTTATATGGATTCTCAGAACTCTCAACATACAGTTAATTTTAATTTGTGTAAAAGTCAGTAATATATTGAGGAAGGATGGAGATAAAAAGTTGTGTTACTCTATCAAACAGCAACATCCACCAAGGGAAAGATTATGATGAACACACTCCCACAGTTTCTTCTTACTCTTGAGTTCATAGTTAATTTTTTTTTCTTTTACTTAAACTTTAAATAAATGATATTCAACTAAGCACCTCTGGCTGATCCCTGAACTGAATCAAAGTTTTACTTTTTTATGAAATAACAAGTATCAAAACAAACAGATGGCACATAACCTCAGAAAACTTGAAATAGAAATCAAGTATTTTTTTTAAAAAGCAAATAATACAACCTGTGCTTTTTAGTACAGATCTGTTGATAAATTTTCCTTTATGTGCTATATGAAAAAAAGATCCAACAAGTCATACAATAAAAATTTTTTAAAAATCTGATTATAGACCAAAAATTAAAAAATAAAGACTTACTTGAAGTTTTCTTGCAATTAATACTGAGAGGTTAAAACTGATAAGCAATGATCCAAGAATCATGGAATTGAAAAACTGAAGAATGCAGACCAGGAATAAACCTGTTATCTGTATACCATACAGCCATGTTGCCTGAAACAACATAAGTTTAGATGGTTAAACAGGTTTTATCGAGAGATTGCCACTGGGTGACATGTTGATAATTTTATCTAGGTTACAAATAATGCAGAAAAAACACCTAACTTAGAGAAACACGATCTATGAAAGGAAACTAAGTCACATGCATACCAACTTCTTATTAACCTTTTAGTGACAATGTTTTACATTTTATAACATTAAAGCAGAAACAAATAGATCTAATAAGTAGTAGAAAGTTAAATAGTGCAATAAATGTAATCCAAGATTAGCAAGTTCAGTACTATAATCTTTTTTATTATTTTTTTTTGCAGTTATAGGCTATAGACAATAATTGACACTTTATCACATTCTATTAGCTCTTTTTCTTTTTAATTCATAGAAAACCTTGTGTACATGCACATGTGTGTGTGAGAGAGAAACAGACAGAGGAGTGCCCTCCATAGAGTCTTGGGTGCTCACAAGTGTGCCTGGTGTGTTTCAGGACGACTAGACTGGGGATCTGAACCATGGTCATTGTGTGGGACCTGACTTCCCTTGAGAAGTACATCACTGCTTCGTCATGGAGCCAGACTCTTCCTAACTGACTATACTACACACATTAGGACTGTACCATATCTTGCTCATTTTGTCTATGTGTATGTGACTAATCTCCAATTAGACTGAAACTCCGGTAGTAAAGAGTTTTCACCTTACAGATTCCTAGCAGGCAGCACAGTGCACTGACCAAGAACATGAACCATGGAGTCAAGAGCACCTGAACTGCAGTCCTGATTCTGATGTAAATCAGCTGATATAAACCATGCCTTCTACATGCCAGAAATGGGAAGAGTCTAGTAGGAGTAGCCAAAGGTGGTAATATTGGGTTGTTGAGAAAGTTATGACACTATTTTTGTATAGAAAAATAGTGTCATAACTTTCCCAGTGACCCAATACATTAAAATGCCTGATACATAATAAGTATTCACTAAAGGTAACTATGCAATAAAAATGGTTGACAGGATGACACTGAAAAAGCAGCAAAATGCAACCAATGTGAACACATGAAAATCCCACAAAGAAAAAGCCCCCTACGGGAACCAGCAGTTAGCGTAATGGCTATGTTGCTGGACTCCCACGTAGTCAACCGCGGTTCGTGTCCTGGACCCGGTGGCTTAAAACTCACGCCGGGCACGTGTGCGTGCGTGCCCAAGATCCCGAGAGGAGAATGGAGGAGAAGGGATTGTGGCATGACCATCCCCCCTGGGGGGTGATTTCTCACTTTCTGTCTCTATGTCTCTATGTCTCTCTCTGTCTGTCTGGCGAGCGCACGCGCCCTACAGTGAAAATCTCTCCAAAAAAAAAAAAAAAAGCCCCTAATGAAGTTGATAATTTTTCTATTCATTCACCTTTTCTTTCACTTTAGACATAATGGTATATGAGAAATATGTCTTATTCAGCAGCAAACCTGATTTTTCCCATGATTTTGTTATCTTAACCTCAAAGGAATGAAACCTACACCAAACACTGAAAATGAGGGCCTGCAACTTTAGTGCTTTGCTTGGTGTCAATGGAAACTGAGGGAAATGAATGCTGGTAGTTTTTAGAATTATAAAGGTAATATATCTTACTGTAGGAGATTTAGAAAAGTTAGAAAAACATAAAAAAGAAACAGCCATATATAGTATTAACTTTATAGTTATATACTATCGTATTTCCTATGTAGCATTTTATATACTTCATATTGTACAGTGTATTTTCTCATGTCAATGGCTATTCCATGAAAACTTAATTTTAGATGTCTACCTAACATCCTACTATATACCACTGGATTGTTTATGTGTTTCCAGCTTTTATTATAATTAACATTATTATAAACATTTTTTTTGGAGAGGTTTTTGCTATAGGGCGTGTGCGCTCGCCAGATAGACAGAGACATAGAGACAGAAAGCGAGAAATCACCCCCCAGGGGGGATGGTCACGCTGCAATCCCTTCTCCTCCATTCTCCTCTCAGGATCTTGGGCACGCACGCACACGTGCCCGGTGTGAGTTTTAAGCCACCGGGTCCGGGACGCAAACCATGGTCAACTACGTGGGAGTCCAGCGACATAGCCATTACAGTAACTGCTGGTTCCCATTATAAACATTTTTAAAATCAATTCTCAGATCATATCTGACTAGTTAACTTACTTTGTTCATTGCTGTATCTCTAGCACTTAAAGCAATACCCACTATAACAGTGTCACTCAATAAATATCAAAGGAATCAGTGAATAAAAATATTCCCTTATTACAGATTCCTAAAAGTAGAATTACTAGTTAGAAAACAGGCCTAGCCACAGTGACATAGGCATTAAGGATGCTGTTGTATGATGGTGGAAGCCATAAGGGAAGGTTCCAGGTTCATAGCCAGGATCTATGTGGGTTTTCCTATGATTTGGATGGCTGCAGAACTGGACTAGGATCCCAGCTTGAAGGCCCTGTCTAGGTGCTGCCTTCTCGAAGCAATACAAATAAATTTAAAAAATAGTTTTTCCTATATAATGACTTTATTTAGATATAACTCATATGCCATCAAATTCACCCAATTAGAGTACACAGTTAATGATTTTTGGTATAGTTAGAATTGTGCAACTATCAACCAGTCTAATTTTGAACTCATCAGTTCGAAGGAAACAATGTACCTATTAGATATCATTCTCCATTCTCCCCTCACCCAACTCCTGGCAACCATTAATCTACCACGTCTACAGATTTGCAAATTCTGGATATTTTATATATTGGATCATTGGGAAAGTCATGACGTATTTATGTATAGGAAAACGTTCATATGTTCATGACTTTCCTAATAAATTAAATAAAACATTATGTAGTCTTTTGTGACTAGCTTCTTTTGGCACAATGTTTTCAAGTTCCATTCTAGGTGCGGCATGTAGAAGCACTTTTTTATCATTCAATATTATTTCATTGCATGGAAAAATTACATTCTGCCTGCACATCCATCAGATGATAGGCACTTGTGTTGTTTCCACTTTCTGCCTATGAATTGCACTGCTATGAATATTCACATACAAAGTTTTGCCTGGGTAGATATTTTCATTCCTCTTGGAAGTGAAATACCTCAGAGTGAACTTCTGGATAATATGGTAACACTGTGTTTAACAACTGAGGAAATGCTAAACTGTTTTCCAAGTGACTGCACCATTTTTTTTTGGAGAGGTTTCTGCTAGAGGGTGTGTGCGCTCGCCAGAAAGACAGAGAGAGACAGAGAGAAAGAAAGTGAGAAATCATTCCCCAAGGGGTTGGTTACACCGCAATTCCTTCTTCTCCATTCCCCTCTCAAGATCTTGGAACTGCGGTTGGCTACATGGGAGTTCAGCCACATAGCCATTAACTGCTGGTCCCAGCGACTGCACCATTTTACAGTTCTACCAGCAACACATCAGAATTCCCATTTCTCCATATCCTCACCAACATGTTATTATTAATCTAAAAAAACCTTATTTTAGCAATCCAAGTGTGTTTAAAATGATGTCTCAGATGATTAAGACACAAGAATGTAGGTAAACAAGTGGAATCGGTGATGGAACAGTATATCACAGTGAAGTAAAAAATGTTGACGAAAGCCAGCTTGTAGCAAGGTGGCTGGTTGTGGTGGTTGGTTATAGCAGCTGGATTCCACATGGCTGACTGTGCAGTTCAAGTCCTGAACCCTGGCAGCCTGAAAAACATGCTGAGTGTGTGTACATGTGTGCCCAAAATCCTAAGAGAATGGAGAAAGGACTGCAGTATGACTATTTTCCTTTCCTCCTCTCTCTCTTTCTGTCTGGTGAGTGCATGCACCCTATAGCCAATTACCAAAAAGACCCCAAAAACCCAAGTAGAACTACTATCAAATGTGTACAACATAATGTAATGTTCAATGCTGAATAAGTCTATATCCTTGACTTGATTATCATGCACAGTACATTACATACGGTATCCTAGAATGATTATATGTAAATGAGAAATCACAATTAAAAAAAAAAAGCGAAAAACCTGGAAAAATAAAAACTCTCAAGCATATGTTAAAATTTTTTTAAAAAGCAATATCTTCATTGTGGTTTTAATTTTCATTTCTCTCATAGCTGAGGACATTGATTTTTATGCATTTACTGGATATTTATATATCTTATTTGAAGAAACATCTATCCAAATTTGTTTCCTCTATTTTATTGTTGAAAAAATTGTAAGAATTCCTTATACCTTGTGGAAGTCCTTTATCAGATAAATGATTTGCAAATATTCTCTCCCATTCTCTGGGTTGTCTTTTCAGTTTTGTGATGGTACACTTAGAACCATGAAACTTTTTAATTTTGATGAACAATTATCTACCTTTTTAATTACCTGTAGTTTTGGTACTGTATCTAAGGAGGTTTGGACTTCTACAGGTCATGTAGAGTTATCCCTATATTTTCTCCTAAAACTTTTATAGTCTTAGCACTTAAAACTAAAGTTTATAGTTCATTTTCAGAAAATTATTATGTGTAGTTGGATACAAGAGACAGAAGACATAGAAGGAGCAATAGGGAGGCCCAAGTCATTCGGCTAGAGCTCATCAGGGACAGTAGGAAGGGCTGTTCTGGCCTGTGTCATACACTTGTGCACTATAGAAAGTGGTCTACCATCTTACATCCTACTGATCCAGTTAAACCTCCAGCCACATTGGGAACAGAAAGATTTGGGTAAACAGGAACTAAATGCCTGAAGACAAGAGACCCTGGATGAATTTTCTCCCTACAACCCTTCTAGCAGTAAAAAGAGAGAAACTTTCCCCTCTGAAAACCTGAACCCCAAACTTGTACTATAGATTCCACACTCCCATTCACAGTAGAGGAGGGAAACAGGCAAAGAGCTAATACTCACAATAGGAAAGGGCACAAGCACAGACTTACGAAAACATACTCCACAAAAATAGGAAGAATTACCAGATGATTAAAAATCAAGGCAGAGCTTCAAGAAATAGAAAAGAAAAACAG